CTTCTTGGTCATTTTTCTTTAATAGCTGCTTAACATATATGAATATAGAGAGAGAGCGAAAGCGACACTGAGAGTGAGAGATAAGAGAAGAGAAATAGGTTTATCCAATATTCATGGCACAACGGTTAAAGGGCAATTGAAAATGTTGAAGACAAATGGGTTTAATTACTTCAAGCATTTCATTGACAGCTATCTTAGTGGAAAAAATGTTAACTCAACTAAGAGCACACTAATGGTTTAAAGGATGAACCGCTATTTAAGAAATTTTATAATATTTAATTCTTTTTATATATAGAATGAGAGGCACTGAGAATTAAATTTGTAATTGATTGATCACGAAGGTTTATATATCAAATAAAGGAACAATTCAACTCAAAATTTTAAGTGATAAAAACACATTAATGGTCTCTAACAAAGGTATTTAATGAAAATAATATGAAAATTTATCAAATGGTGGTAGCTCAGTTGGCGCATGGGAGCTGAGTAAGTGGGGGTGAGGGCATGTGTTCGAATCTCTCTAGTACCATCTTTGGGAGGGGTTTAAAGTCTTAATCATGGACCCGCCTCGAATCGGACTAATCGCGAACCGATTAACCGATGGAATATTTCTAAAAAAAATAATAATAATAATATGAAAATTTATTTAATAATAAAGTGTGTTAAAAAAACGTGTCAAAATATATTACTAATATTCCTCCTTCATTTAATAGCCTTTTCAACTTTTATTATAAAATTATCAGCTGATAATTACCCGCAACTTACTGAATGCCAAACTCGTAACCATAGCAGTTTTGAAAAAACAAAGAGAGTAAATGGATTAAGATAAAATTTTCAAAATAACCTTGCAAACCAGCCAACCACGTGAGTTTTTATATTGCATCCCTACTGCTTCTCCGTTCAAACATAACTCTTACTTTGTAATTTATGGAAAAAGTGTTTGTCATTTTAAATGACACAACTTATATTATTTCACTCTCACAAAGAGGTGAGACCCACACCTTTATTTTTTTTGTCCACTCTCTCCTTCTTTATCTATCTCTTTCTCTCACTTAAAATGACACAATTTTACATCATTTAAAATTATACACACTTTTTCCATAACTTATATACAAAAGTAATTTAATTCTTGCAAGAAGCATGATTTTTTATTTTTTTTTTGTAATCTGAAGCATGATTGTTTATAAGATTGATAGTAATCACTAAAAATATATTTCGTCTTACTCATTGTTATTGTGACTTATCTTCCTCAACTTCTATCATGAGTTATGAGTCTTATGACTTTCATATTGTTTTACAATTGATGTAAATTATTTTACATGCATATATATAGTTTAATATAATTTTATATCTTAGATTATAGGATCTTATGATCTATGTCGATCTCAGAATTTATGATCTTACCACCCCTTCCTGATCCTATGTGGGATCTCGATCTTAACAACATTGTGTCTGACAGCCCTCCCACAAAGTCAATTGAGATATCAACCCAAACTCTAGAAGGAATTGATAGGGGTTGTACCAGCCCTGTAAGTGAGAGGTTTTGAATTTCATTTTGTTGGTAGATCATGCCAACGATCCTCTCATAGGTTCTAAAGTAATCAAAGTGACCTCGCATAGATGACTTATGAAACTCTTTTGGCAATTGGGGTATAAATCTAGATTCTCATGACAAAACAAATCAATCCTTAAAAAATAGCTTCCCTTCTCTTAATTTAAATCCTTCATGTGGTTCGGGGTTAATGATGAGGTCCTACATAATTTTTTTAAACCTCAAATTAATCAAACTTTCCCCACGTACACAACATATGACATTTGCACTCACAAAACAGCTCAACAACATCTTAATACTTATAACATAAACAGATATAATGCTATAATCCAGCTCAATAACATATCCAATACTCATAACATAAACAAATATAATTTCTAGAAAACATACAATGCACAGAAACCAATCCCCAATGGGGTTTGGTAGAATAAACAATGGATAAAACCGAGGACCAAAAGCTTACCTACATTGCCAAAATCCCTATCCAAAGGCTCGGTATACACAGATACACCAACAATCACACAATCCGACAATTGCAATCTGTTTTATATCAAGAATATTATTAATAATCAGAATTCCAATCTCATAGAAATTGAACAATGTTTTCTTTTCATTTAGTGACTTAAGTCCCTCCTAAAACATAATTATAGTATATTAACCCTCACTATTATTTCTATTTATTCTTTCGGCAGTCGCACTAACTCCCTAGGGTATCATACCCTAATTGGGGCTTCCCTACGCATTAGAACTAGTTCCTGGTCTTTCTAACATTGGGTAATCGATTACCATACAGGGGGGTAATCGATTACCAAACAGAGGGTAATCGATTACCACGCGAACAAAACATGAAAATTGCATATTTTTCTGCATAATCCGTGGGTTTCATGGCTTCCAAGGGTCCAAGGTCCAATTTTTCATCAAACAGAAATTCAAATCACATGATTAAATATAAATATCCCATATTTTACATAAATCATTAATGTTTCCACTTTTTACTTCACAAAATAACTCATTTTCAAGAAAATACAAGGGGAATGGTTTGTAGTTACCTAACGACCTTTGAAAATAGAAAAATGGGGAAGCTTTGAGGACATTGAAGATGCTCCAAGCTACTGACTTGATAGTGCACGAAAATCACACTCAAAGGTAGGTCCTTTCTTCGCAAAGTTTGATTCTTGGAGCTTCCTAAAGTGTAATAATGGTTCACACTCTAAGAACTCAAGTGGTCAGCCCTCCCTCTTATGAAAACAGCAACTCAAACTCTCAAGACATGATCTTTCCCTCATAAGACTCAAGTTTTACAAGGAATGATGATGGTTTAATGGGATATGATTAGAGAAATATGGTGAAAGATGGATTCTTGACTAGGTTCCATGCAAAAAGCTCATGTCTTCAAGAAGAGAGGAAGATGGCAGCCATGAAGATCAGCTTTGGGGTCTGAAAACTGACCTAGGGCTTTGTGCAGATGGCTATTTATATAAGTGTGCCCACTAATTAATAGTATTAGTTCTAATAGCTATCCTTATCATTTTTCTACCAAATTTTATATTCTGAACCTAGACATTTTTCTAGGAATTATCATATTTTTGTTATAATTTTTCGAAACACTTCACCGGTACGCGTTTTATACATAGCCTGTATTAGTTCTAACATCACTGCTCATTATTTTTACCCCAAATTTGATATCCTGGACCTAGATATTTTTTCTAAGAATATTTGTATTTTATTATAATTTTTTGGAATACTTCATCAGTACGCATTTATACCGTGAAGCAGAACCAGTATCAGCATTTTTCATCATATAAGCGATTTAAGCATTATTTGACCTTATCGATAATTATTCTAATCTTTCTATATTTATTCAAAGTCAATTATAGAATTATTTTCTAAACTCATAATTGAATTATTTAAATTCCTAATTTAGTAGTGTCAGGTTCTTAAAGGTTGAGTACTTTGAGTCTGGGTACTCGGTTGAGGGAGAACGTATCAATATTGGGCTTCACACTTGAGGGGTCGATTATTGAGATATTCAAGTGTGATGACTCTCACATTGGTTGGTGATGCGTTAAGTAGAGAGTATATAAGTGGAAGGACTCATTATCTCAATACTTTAAGGTTTTGGGTTATGACATGGTATCGGATTCACTTGGTGTGGTTGGCCTAACTTAGCCCATTGATGTTAGTATCCCGCCCCGGGCTCCCCTTGGATTTTCCTGACACGAAGCGAACCGATTTCAAATTGGTTTTTGAACCCCGAACAGTTTCGAACCGAACCGAATTGGTTCAAGTAAAAAAAAAATATTGTTTGAACCAAACCGATTTAAAATGATTTGGTTCGTTTCGGTTATGTGAAAAAATCAGTTCAGTACCCAATGGGTGCAGCTCAGTTGGTAACTTGGCGCTGAGTTAGTGGGGTTGGATATGTGTTCGATTCCCTGAATGCATTCTTGGAGAGGGGGCTGAACCTTTAGCCATCACTGCTCCCCCGCACTCCGGATTAGTCTCATAGCCGGCTCAAAGAGTCGAAGCTCGTGGGGATACCGGAGGGAGCCAACTCGTCTCAAAGAGATAATTAGGGTTGGATAACTCCAAAACAAAATCAGTTCAGTTCAATCTATGCCCACCCCTTGTTTACTTATTTTCATGTGACATGTGATCGAATAATTTTTTTTTTCTTTAAAATTATTTGTTGTTTTTATTTAATCAATTCTCTAATCGGAATTATGAGATTCAAGTCATGATCAATATATGTTTAATCCGTTGTAATGTAATTGTACTAAGCAAATATCATGTATATAATAGAGATGTGAAACAATTCCCTGTGTTAAGCATGATTACTAGAAAGATTACCCGTTTTCAGGGGTTATTTTCTTTTATTAAATATTTGTTGTTTAAATATAATCATTTGGCTGATCCAAAGTACGAGGACATATTTAAGAATAGCTAAGGAATTGAATGCTAAAAGGACAAAAGAAAATAAATTTCAAATCAAATGGAGGAGAACATTTTGATGAACTTAAATTATGACTTACGAAGCAAATGTGTAGCAAATGTGTACAAGTATCTCATGTTGATTTCACTAAGTACGACTTAACAGTTAACTCCACTCCCGTTAAAAATAATAATAATAATAAGAAAATATAAATATAATATTCTATGATGCAATATAAGTCATGTTATAGATTCAAAAAAATATGCGGCTCACTTTAATTTCTCTTTTCTGAACAAAATGGGCCTTGTGTTTTTTTGAGTTTACAATAGGATCTATATTGCATCCTACAACATTATACTCCTATTTTTCATAATAATAATACGAGATTTCCATTATTTTATTTTATTTTGGATGATTTGCTAATAAAAGGAACTACAATATTTCTCCCCTTCCTTTATTGGGGTGACTGAAGTTGATCTAAACCTTAACGTAAGTATGATAGGTAGAGGATTGCTGGCCTCGAGAGGAAAGTTTCTAAAGCTTGATATAACCATTCTTGATCATCCACTCCAGACTCCAGTGCATATTGACGTTCTTGAAAGCCCAATAAGCCCACCCAAATGTCGCTCGCCCATAAACATCTAATTGGGCCTTGGCGAATCTTTGGTAGTCTTCTTTTGTAGCCCCCTTAACTTTCCACTGAGCAACCCATTCACCTTGAAATTGGAATTAATATTGTGCCAGTTGAAACTTTAATTAAATAACAGAGTCCAAAATAAAATCAAGAGTTATCATTTGATTCTTTAGCAGTGGACAAATATAAGCAGTTACAGATGAGAATATAAATTTTATAATTTCATAAAGGGGTTTGAATATCTGCTGCAGACACAAAAATATAGTGTGGTCCACTATTTTAAAAATAAAAATAAAAATAAAAGTTGAGTCTATGGCATAAGAAGAATTCATTTACAGTGACATAAGAAGTATTTTTTCCTTTCATAAATCAAATACATCATTAATATTTTTAAGGTAAATATTACTCTGATGTTACATTAGATAATTTTTTCTCATGCACTCACAAATCAAAATTGGGAACACTATATTTTTTCTCTCTTCTCCATTCTCCTCCTCTAAGTTGTAAGTGCGTCAGAATAATATTCCTTTATTTTTAAACTACATATATTTTAATGTAAGGAAAATCACATAACATATGCATATGATTGATTACAAATTATGGATTTGAGTGCTTCATATCAAGTGAATCATAAAACTGTGTCACTTAATTGATTAGATTCAGACGGTCAATAAAATAGCTTATTTATTAAGTGTAACTGTAAAATGGTGACAAAAAACAATCTTTATTTATAGGGAGAATGAAGGGTCATTTGAAGACTTACCAACAAAGGTAAGAGGGCCATTCGAGGTTGTCACAAAATTCAACTGTGATGAGCGATTGGTGTAGATGAAATCAATGTTCTGTTGGACAGTCATGTTGTTAAACACATCTTGATAGAGGTTATAGTAGTGGACATCGATCACAGATCGCATAAGGCCATTGGCAAGAGGGAAGAATTCCCTGGGGTCTGAGGGTCCTAGCCTATTTGACAATATAACATAAGCTGTGGAGGAGTGCTTGCGCACAGCTTCATAACCAGCCTTGTAGTACTTGGTCAAGCTATCTAGTGTCACACCAGGTGAGAGAGGCTCGTTTATGAACTCAACTGCATAAAGGCTTGTGCTTTTTGCGTACCTGCCATGCATAGCAAAATGGGACTGATTATATATCTTTGATGCAATTAACATGCTGCAATTAATAAAATAGAACAATGTCTTATATGTAATATATATAAACCTTGCAGTTAGGAAGTCTATAACGTGAACTGTTTGTTGGATGTTTTCATCTGTTTTTCCCCATTCTTGTGAACCATCTCTTGAAGCGCTGTGCTCAAAGCCATTTTGAGAACCGGGTGCAGCATGAAGATCAATGATGATTTTTAATCCACATGTCCTGCAGGTAGATTATTAATCCCAATATTATTCTATTATTATTAATGTACTATATATCAAGTCATCACTAAGTAAGGCATATTCATTTTAGAATCTAGCTAAAGCCATATAATAAAGTTTATTTAATTTATGAACTTACTGTGCCCACAAGAAGGCATTGTCTAGTGCGTGCAAGGAACCCCCAACATAAGGTGGGGGTGGAGTTGGATCACTTGCAATCCACCAGCCAACGGGAATTCTAACTGCATTTAATCCATTACTTGCTATGAACTTGAAATCATCTTCAACTATAAAAGTGCTCCAGTGTTCCTGAGAAAAACGAACCCCGTTAAACTTTTTAAGCCCCTAGGCCCTAGCTAATAACAAGTCTTTGGACCATCCCATTTGAACGGGGAAATTCACATGCAACAATAAACCAACTTTAATTTGTAGATGACGTACAGTTGTTGTATATGGAATTTTCAAAACCGCCCGCCATTTATTAATGTTACCGGTGGTGGAGTTGCGGATGAGATAGGGTGGACAATCTTCAATTTCATATAAACCTTTAGTTATTGACCATTATTTTGTTTTTATTTTGATATACATAATCATCATCCCCCGGTAATTTCGCCTCTTATAAAATTTGCTGGCTCTGCCGTTTATGTTACCTTCATAACTTGTGACGCTTCTGTGGGGCCATAACCATTTGTTACTTGGAATTCGCCTTGCATCCTTCCAGCGATTGTCATTATAAAAACGGTTGAATCATCATCTCCCCATCCGTTGACCTCTGACACATCAGCAGTCACTAGTTCCTCTGTCTTCGCCTGCAAGTCCACCCCACTAATTTTACTTTAAAAAGTTAGACCACACTAAGCACTAAGTGCATGTGGAATAATTAAGTTATATTATTAAGCATGATTTGATTTGAGCAGGACCCAATTGTCTTTCGACTGATCCCAACAACACAACAGGGGTACTCAATGAACAAAGTAAATTAGTGTGTCAATTCTCTCTCTTTTTCTATTTTCGTTTTGTGATTTGTGTGTGATTGTCGATTTTCAACGAAAAGATTAAAAAGGAGAGGATCACCTGCAAGAAGTATCCATTGGATGCTTTGATTCGAACACGGGTTGAATTATCACTTTCCTTAACAATATGAAATGTCTCAGAATCAGTGGAAGTATTGGTAACAGCAACCACGGTAATCCCATCTAAACCCACAAACTGTTTGTTGAACACCCTGAATCTGAAAGTGGCCTCGTTTATCCTCCACAACTACACAATATCACTCGGAACATCATCAAAACGTGACATGCAACATTACTCTTTTTTAATACAAATCATTTCATATTGATGAATGAATAGTATACACAGAAATAGGTCACTCACTTTAAACGTTTCCCAACCCGAAGCAGCTGTTCGGTTTGCAACTAGGATTGTTCCACCTCCAGACTCCGCACATAGATATTTCTGTGTTGTCACAGACTTGAACTGAAGACCAGTTCCATCCTACAAAATTTGAGAGGCAGAATTTCTCATGACCAAGAATAAAGAAAGCTATTAATATAATAACCCTATAAGAATAACATAATGATAATTTGTAGTACAATCACTTATATATGTACTAACCAAGAAGTCCTTATTTGGAATGCCATCGAATAGTGAAGGTTTAATCCAACCTTCAGTAACCAGCCAACCACCCAGATTAACTGTTTTCACTCGAAACTCAAATTTTGGTCTCCCATATGTGATAGAAAGCATACTAGATAAAATAACCGAGTTAAGCAGCCATATTTTGAGGTTAATATAGCTCTTCATCATTAGATGTCTTTGATGATCCTTGTATCAACCTCAAAATATGCCGGCTTTGAAATGAGTGCGAGCAATTATATATAGGAAATGGGATGTGATATGGCATCCACGAAATATTTTACCAAGCCGAAATTAAAAAATATTTATCAATTATTAATTTTAGGGCAGTTATACTTACTTTTTTTTTAAAGAAAAAGGACAGTTATATATTTACAAAAAAAAAAAAAAAAAAGGACAGTTATATTTACTACCATTTTAACTTTATTACTCTTAGTTGATTGGTTACCTTTGGATCAAACGATTGAAAAATGAAAAAAACAATTAATAGTTGTTAGTTTCGAATGGTTCCAATTGTAACCAATCAAGAAGTAAGTATAACCGTTTTTTTATAAATATTTAAACTTTTATCAAAGGCAATAAAAAGTAATATATTACTCACAAACTCAAAACGGTAGTTTTAAGGTTTGTACAAAGAAAAAAATGTTTGTCATTTTAATAAAGAGATAGACACAAAATAATATTTTTTATTTAAAATTTAAATTAAAAAAAAACCATTAACTTTCTCTTCTATAATTTTAATTTCTTGTGTATATTTCTCTCTTAAAATAACATAACTTATGTCATTTAAAATGAGAATTATCAAATCAAACTCTGGAAAATAGAGAAGAGACGTGGGTAATGTGTGTAACCGTTTCGAAATAATCATTATTTTAAAACTTTAAATTTGTTGTAAACTATTAATTATTTAACAGATTTTAAAATAATTTTTTTTTAATTTTATATTTTCTTTTTATATAATATTTATTTTTTAGAGGATGATCATTTTAGTTAAAATTAGTATTTTTTATTTAAAATTTAAATTAAAAAACTCTCATTTTCTCCCACCATGATTTTCATTATGTATCGTTTTCTCATTTAAAATGACACAATTCTAAAAGACAAACACCAATCTCTTTTATATTTGACTTGTGGTGAAGTAAGAACTAAATTTGTATCCCCTTACAGAGTATCTTGATGAATGAGTGCAGTCACGGAAAAAAGCTAGAATGGGCAAGTATGTGAATGATGCATTGGCTCTAAAATCTGGCAGAGTAATCGTTCATGAAAATATATGATAAATAAAAGGTGCCTTCTCTATGAGAAAAGATGAAACATATATAGATAGGAGAGAGAGACGAGTCAAAAATCGTTAGCCAAATCCTCACTATTGTCTTCAGGTGTTGCCTCAACCTCACCCTCTCGTGTGTATACAATAATGAGCTATGCAGGGATTCTTAATGTGAATCTCATGTGCTTTTAGTAGGCTGTCAAGAGATTGAACCCTTGATGAACCTCTAACGGCAGATCCATTATAATGGGCTTGTGACAACTGCCTACAGCAATATTGTAGTTAAATGAGATAAAAAAAAAATTTGTAACGAAGTAAAAATGTAAGTAATATAAAATGAGTAATTTTTTAAACTAAAAATATTTAATGACTTTGTAAATTTTTATAAAAAAAATTAAATGATAATTATTTTAAAACGCAATAATATCTAGTGTGACTTGTGTTATAATTTTTTTTTTTACTAATGATTATAAAAGTATTATTTTTAAATTTTATTTCCTGTTTTGAAAATATAATTAAAAAAATAAGGGTAAGACCCGTTCCACGCATCAAATAGTACAAAGTATACCGTTCAACTTGGGAAAATAAGGGTAGGCCACATTGAATGCACTAATTCCATCACCGTCTTCTGTGATAGTCCAAATTACAATTCAACCGAAAAGTCAACTACATATAGCTCATAATTTCTGCTGTTTCGATTGTAGAAGACAAAATGGTACTATGCGATTTAAGAAGTAAGATAACTCATTCACCGGGTAGAATTTTGTATATATCTTAAGAAAATTGACTTTATATAAATAATATATATTTTTGATTAAATTTTATTCCACGCTTAAACTTTTATTTATTTAAAAAAAAACTAATAAAATCGACAAAATATTGTACGTAATGGGAGTTTATGGTCTTCAATGAAGGTTTTAATTTAATTCTATTAAGCTCAAAGGGAAAAACACTTCTCTTGCATATCCTTTTAATTTTGTGCCTTATTTTACTAAAAAAATATTATGGCCCGCCCCATCATTTACTCTCTCGGCAGAAAAATGGACGTCTCTCTTGTGAAAAAAGAGACATAAAGCCCAAGATTATATATTTATATGCACATTTTTACTATTTTTTGAAATATACAAAAATATTTAAAAAAATGTGGCCACGGTTTGTGGGTGTTTATAATCACCGTTACTCATAAAATTAACCATTATCATTTCACTTATTTTCATTCGTTTCTAACATTCTATCTGCATTTTTCTCTCCGGGAGTTGTCTCTAGAGGGATTATGCATCTGACCTGCTGATGACTTAAGTATTTCTCTCACTCTTTAATAACAAAGAATTTTTTAGTAAATTAAAGGATTTTTCAATAGAATTATGATAATATATTTATTGAATTTTAATGATATAGGCATACAATATAATAATTCCATTTTCAGTTTAGCCCTAATATTTTTAAAAATTATGTTTAGGCCCCTAAAGTTTTTGAATTTTGACTTTACGTTCATTTTTACACGGAACCCTAGGTAGTATGAAAAACCATTGTAGATGGGTTCAATAAATCCAAATAACTTTGCTTATATATGTTTCCTACATAAGCTATATATAAAGTTGGTTTAATGTTTGCAGGATTCTTATGGTATTTGATACACATGGAGATAGAAATTTTTACAACTAGAGGATAATTATGGGGAAAAAGAGGAAGAAGAAGAAGAAAAAAGGGTAAAAATTGAGATAAGTTTCTAGGCGGACACTTGAAGTAAGAGTTTTTCACAAGTACAACAAAAACTCGAGAAGTCCAGAAGTTAGATAGAATCGAGCCGGTAAAACGGGTTTGGCTCGGCGGATTAACGCGTTTAACCCACCAAACGGGGTGGGGCGGGTTGAGTTTTTTAACTCATTCCAAAAGTGGGGCGGGGCGGGGAAGACTTATTTTTTGGTGGGTTGATGGCGAGCATAGGCGGGTCGAGACGGGTCAGTGTAAAATAGGCTCGGGTTGGCAGATCAATCCGCCCAACCCGCCAAACGAGGCGGGGCGGGCTGAGTTTTTCAGCCCACTTTCAAAAGTGAAACGGGACGGACTGACTCATTTTTTAGTAGGTTGATGACGGAATGGGACGGGACGCGACGAGACGGACCGCCCACTTTGCCACCTCTCTAGATAGAGTATGCAAAGACGAATCAAAGTCTTGGTGCCAGGGGAAATTGTGGGAGATTTAAAGAAGTACAAGCAATTAGCTAAGCTTAGCCCGGAAGGGATGAAAATCCCTTGGTTTATATATTTTTTAAGATTTCCTTAAAAGCTGTATAAAATGGGTTTTTGTATGTTCTCGATATTTTAATGCATTCTGAAGGTATACATATGTTTCTGTGATATTTTGATATTGAAAAAAAATTATATGACGATACGATTTTTTATTTATTTTTATTTTTTTATACTACGATGTGATTTAAATATTGAACATAGTAAAGTAACGTTTTGGCTAACGTTGCAAGCTTACGCCGTGAGCAAGGTGTGTTGGATTTCCTCTTTCTCTCTTTCCCATTTGTTTTTCGTTTTTACTTTTTTACTTTGAACATAGTAAAAATTAGATTCCGGACTAATATCTTGAGGATTTTTAATTTTTTACGTTGGAGAAAATTTTTTCACATTAAAATGTGCTTTCACATTAAAATGTGCCGTGTTCATCTTTCTCTCTTTTCTATATGTTTTTCGTTTTTCCTACGCATAAGGCAATCCTGGTTGAAGAGTCGAGTTTTGAGTTCAAAGTTTGACTTTAGCAAAATTTCTTAGCCAAGATTGAGGGAACCAAGTCCCAATCATCATGTTCTAGAATTTTTCTAGATAAGTAAGCTAAAGTTGCTGTGAAAGACTCCGTTACACGGACACACTTTTTTTTTTTGAAATTTACGTGTCGGACCCGTGTCCGACACAGACACACTCGGACACGCGTCCGACACGCGGTCAACATTTGAGGACACGCGGTCAACTCTCCGACACATTCCAACACGCGGTCAATATTTGGGGACACGCTCGGACACGTTTTTTTTATTTTTTTTATTTTTTTTTAAATCTTAATTTTTTTTTGTTAACTAAATATAAAAGAAATAATTCATAAATTAATTTTTTTCTGTTATAAAATTTAACATTAAAAATTAACAAACTACGAAAAATTATTTATATTTATATTTATGTTATGAAATTTAAATATTTAATTGGTTATATGACTTATTATGGATTCTTATATGTATTAAATATAAATCATATTATATATATTAAAATTTTTATTTAATATCAAAACGTGTCCCAACGTGTCCAAATATGACATTTTTTAGAATTAACGTGTCGGCATGTCGTGTCGTGTCCCGTGTCCCGTGTCCGTGTTCGTGTCCGTGCATCATACGTGAAAGACTAGTTTTATTCGTTTCCTCTGTCATTGAACGTTAGAATTTATGTTATTTTTCCTGTTCTATATTTTCTTGACTCTTCCATGAAAAGTTAGAATTTTTGCAATTTTTTATTTTTCTTTCTTTTTGTCTCTTGAAATTTCTTTTTTTTTCTTTTTTTTTTATGGAAAATGATGAATTTTGTAATTATATTTTGCCTTCTTCGTAGAAAGTTAGCATTTCTATAATTACTTTATGTATTTTTATTTTTTGGAATAATAAATAATTTGCACGATTAATGTCAATGAATCGTGCAAATTAATTGTGCATTTTACTATAATTCTATTTTTAAAATAAAAAAATATAATTTTTTAAAGGACACAACTTTATTTCATTTAAATTAAATAATTGTGCAATTACTAAAAAAATTAAGTAATTGTATTTTGGTACATATTATAATAATTTTTTTACATTCTCTCTCTTGTTAATTTCTTACAGAAAATTAAAAGGAAAGAGAAAGAAAG